TGTCAAAATCCTTCAAGGGAATGTTGGTTCAGTTCCTTCTGCCTTTCTCTCGCACATCTTTCCTGACTTTATTTATATTTTGCCTTGGGTCAGGTGTGAGAGATGGACCATGGTTCTTCACAGCAGTGTGTTCCAGTTACACTATCCTTCATTCTCCACCTCTTTGCATTTCTCAGAAAGATTTTTCCATAGTATTTGTGTAAAATGTGTCAGAACCCTTGGAAGCATACTCAAAGCCTGAGTAGAAAACGTTTTAACGACAGTGTTTGCAGATTGCCGTATATTGTTTACGGACATATATATGTAGATTTATCTGTCCTCTGCATTTTCTGAGCCTTCAAGTTAGCAGTGATGCCAGACCTCCAGCAGGTTTCAAAGAAGTTTTTTCTACTGACATAAGATCTGATACTCTAAGAAACTTCTACATCATGCAAAATCTAGGTAAAACAGACTCTTTGATTTAGGTGTAATTAATTTTTATGTTGACTTTAAATTTTTCTACTATAGATTCTGAAAATTACATCAGGTACAATATATTACAAGGTGAAAAGTCATCCAACACCTAAACTATCCCATTAAAATGTTAGTATTGTAACACTCTTATTTTACATTTTTGAGAATGAAACCTCAACAAAATGAATACATCCCTGTGGAAAGTTTCCATTTAGACTAAATTATGATTTCTGGTGGAAAAATGTGCATTTGGAAGAGTTTCAGTTGCTTTCAATATTAGGAGCATTCTCCCTGAGTAGACATTCAGTTAGGAAAATCTTTTAAACACATGAGCTGTTTTGTATAATTCACATAGCAAACACAGCTTGTTATCAGTCATCCAGGCCTTACTTGCAGAGATGGTTTATCTTTCCCCAAAGCCTGACCGTTTTATACTATACAACTGAAAACTTATTTACCACTTAAGCTAGTGTCTTTCACATGCAAGTCCTTTCATGAGGTGGCTGGCAGTAGCTGCTAGTGTCTTCTGAAATTGCAAGTCAGTTAAATCTTCTAAAACCTAAATCTAAAGCAGTTGTAACTTATTATCTCATGAACCTTTGGGAAGGTTTTGAGGTAACCACAGTTAAGTGTCATAACTTCAGTAGCTTGTTCAGCCTCTCTTCTCCTGTTTACAGTGAGACTTTGGCTGGTAGACCTTTTTTTTCCTTGGATAAATGATCATAGAGTAATAATAATAATAATAAAGTAATAACTTCTCCTGTTGGGACCACTTCTCCTGGTCCCAACAGGAGAAGTGAAGAAAACCTCTCCCTGAAGTGACTTAACTGCCTGTAAATGCTACGATGAAATGCACTTCCATCTACACATTGGATGATGCCTCAGGTAGACTGCTGTGAAGCCATCTGTGAGCCTGTTCGGCCTCTCCCCCCAGGTCCTATTCAGCCTAGCCACTTTTAAGAGTCTGCCCAGCTCTTGGTGTTTTGCAGTGAGACCTGTGTTACTCTTCATTCTTTGCCAGATCCTCTGCTTCACTCTTGTCACTTTCCTCAGTGTCACTTCTGGCATCTTTTCTTTTCTGTAGGAAAGACAGACAATTTAAATGAGCTGCAAAACCTATGTAATGGTATGTATTAGAGGGGATTAGTCCTGTTTTTATTCACAGCACTGGTGTGTTAACCTGATAGCTAAAATAAAAATCACAGGCATGATCATGTCCTTAGAGCCAATGTTCCAGTTGTCCCTGCACTGGGAGGTTGACTTAAACTGCCAGAGGTTGACTTTGTTATGGTTTCACCTAACTTTTGAATGCTTTTTTTTGTTGCCCTAATAATGTTCTTGTAATGTGGCCTTCTAAAAATAAGTTGGTATTTGTTCTCCATATAGTTATTCTGCATATTTTCCCGTGCAGTTTATTACTTTCAAAAGTAAACACATACTTGTCCAGTGAGCATATTGACGGATTTCCTCATTTTGCAATTGCACTAGTTTTGGCTGGGATAAAGTTAATTTTCTTCATGGTAGCTAGTGTGGGGCTGTTTTTGGATTTGTGCTGAAAACAGCGTTGATAATACAGGGATGTTTTTGTTATTGCTGAGCAGTGCTTACTTTCAAGTCAAGGCCTTTTCTGCTTCTCACACTGTCTCACCAGCGAGTAGGCTGGGGTTGCACAAGAATTTGGGAAGGGACACAGCTGGTACAGCTGACCCCAACTTACCAAAGGGATATTCCATACCATGTAACATCATACCCAGTATATAAAGCTGGGGGAAGAAGAAGGAAGGAGGGACATTCGGAGTGATGGCATTTGTCTTCCCAAGTAACGGTTACACATGATGGAGCCCTGCTTTCCTGGATATGGCTGAAGACTGCCTGCTGATGGGAAGTAGTGAATGAATTCCTTGTTTTGCTTTGCTTGGGTGCACAGCTTTTGCTTTACCTATTAAACTGTCTTTATCTCAACCCACAAGTTTTCTGACTTCTACTTTTCTGATTCTCTCCTCCATCCCACCAAGGGGGAGTGAGCAAGCGGTTGTGTGGTGCTTAGTTGCTGGCTGGGGTTAAAACACACCAGAAATCATCTACAAACTTGAGAGTATGCTCCATCATTTCCTCTAGAAAACTTTTTTTTCCTCTTAATTTAGCTTCAATGAAGGGGTAGTTCAAGATAAGCTGAAGGCATAACACCAACACTGTGGTGGGATTTTTTCTGGCCACAGATCCCCAAGGCCTTCACAAATCTACTCGGAGGCTACTAAGATGCCATCTGCTTACCTTAGCAAGGCAAGCCAGTGAACTGGCATCTGTGCTGACAAGGTTTCTTCCAATGATCCCTATACAAACTCTGGCATGCTTTAAAGCTTGTGGAATGCACCCAAAAATCAGAGGTGCAAATACACAGCATGCTATCTACCAGGCTTACCTGATTGCTTCTTTCTTACTCTATTTTGGACATACCAACAGGTTCATATTCTCCCAAACCACATACTGAGAAGCTGTTGGGCAGTGAGGAGAAAGGATGGCTCCCATGTCACTAGGACACAGCTGCAAACTACAAGTGAGCTGCTGCTCTGATCTCCGTGAGCAAAAGTATCCACACAACTCCCAACACGTGATTTCAGAAGCTCTGAGGCTGTTTGTTGTACAGTCCCATTTCTCTCATCCCTTCCCTGCAGGCACACAGGAGTCACCCTGGATGTTATGGTCTCATGAGTAGTGGTGGCACCAAGGAGACAAAGATTTTTCATACCGCACCATGGAGGATGACACTGACGACCATCTGGATGATTAGATAGGACCAGAAAATATGTAACAACTGCAGGATCATCAGGAAAGTGTTTATCAGGCAGCTTACGAGGAATAATGGAAATTTTGTCACAAAGTAATAGTATGTGCTGTTGGGAAAGAGAGAGGGAGAGACAAATCAGTAGATGCCAGACTAAAGCAGGCCAAGTACCTTCCCACTTACAAGGGTCAAGTGTCTTTCTGGGCAACTGCTTGGCTCATGTGTTCCCAGGGCAGAGCTGAGCTATACTAGGACTGCACTATCAGGCTTCACACTCTGCCCAGCTCTTGCAAAGCATGTCCCAGGTCCCAGAGGACCTGCAGAAAATCTGTATTAAAATCACCAACAATGCAATAGTCTTAGCAGACAGGTCAGTTATCAGAAACCTGCAATGCTTCCCAGAAGAAGCAGGAACTGGCAGCATTTCTCCTAAAATAAGTCTGGAGAGGAGCAATGGACAAAAATTAAACCATAAGGGGACCTGGCCACTGGCACTTAAATAAAAAGATTATAAATTAATTTTTTAATCAAAGTTAGGGAAGAGATGAGCAGATGGGCAGGGTATTATTTCTGGCAGAAGTCACAGAAAATCTGTGCCATCAGTGATGGGGACAGAAAGGTGGAAAGCACTGGTTTGGAAACGGAGAGCAGACAGAACAGAGAGCAGTTCATTGCAGGAGAGAAATGATGAACGCTAGTATGTGTCTTCCTCCATAAGTTATCTAAGACATATTGGAAGCTGGGAAACATTGTTGGACATAGTATGTATTTGCCTTCCTAGACACCTGCTGCTTGCTGCTGATGCAGGCAGGTGCTGATCTAGATGGACCCTTGGTCTGACCTGGGACATCTGTTATCTTCTTTGTGCTTATGACACAGCAGGTTGAGATATTTGGGCCTGGCTTTTTGCAGTGGAGACAACTGAAGTAATGGTTGTTCTAGTTTCTTTCTCAGGAAAGCTGCTTCAAGCTTTTATTGCTTTTTTTCTCTAAGGGAGCCATTTCACCACCAGAATCTGGGACTTGTTATGCAAAGTCAGTCTCACAGGTATCCAAACTAAATGGCAGCAGGACCAAAATTCAAAACTCAGCATCTTCAGTGCTGGTGTGGAGCCAGGACAGGAACAGAGGACAGCAATGCAGACTTGTGCCTACATGTGTATAACATGTCCCATTTTAAAAATTCTTCTGGGTGTAATAGATGAAAGGTTTGTTTGGTTTTGAAGGAAAATGGAAACCTTAGACTATAATGAAAGTGTTGTGGAATGAGTTTCTGGGAAGTTAACTGGGATCAGCTTTTCCAGGTGACTTGGCAGTGGTAAAGAAAGGGGAACAATTTCAGCATAGTTAAAGGCTGGGAGTGTGGTCAGGTGTGTGTAGGCAAAAGCCATTCTCCAAGACTGATGCCTGTGTGGGGCTTCTGGAGGTATCGTTGCTGGTACCCTCCCAGCACATCGAGTATCCTGCTTCCTGAATCCTTAGCATGTACTCATGACTTTCTTGTTTTATTTCAAATAAAGGTGGGTCACCTTAAATTGCTATGACATTGTTTCTATATTAATTTTATCTTAATAGAACTTTAGGCAGGCCTTTCTTACTCTTCTAAGTAATTCTAACCGGTTTGTACCTTCTTTCTCTTGTAGGAACCAGTGTTTGCAACAGAAGGAGGCCACTTCCTATACACTGGAAGAGTCACACCAGGTCTTGAGCAGGAGTAGAGGAGAAAAAGGATTACCCTCAGACTGTGGTGGGGATGGCTTTAGGAGGATGGAGAAAGACAGTCCTAAAACATTCTCAGTGCCACAGTAGCTCATGAGAAGTGGCTGCATGTAAGCATCTCATCACAGCACGAGACACAGCCCCAGGTGAGAGACAGTCCCTGCCTAGGAGAGACTGTGAGGGCACGGGAAGGGAGGGGCAGAGGCTGTGACTCTAGATTAATTAATATAGTTAAAACTCTGGGGTTTTCTCTTGGCTTCCTCAGTTCCAGTTGGATTAATCTTTGAGCTTACCTGTAGTGTCCTGTTCCCTGCCTTTCATCCCCTCAGCATGGAGGGTTTTCTCTTCAGGAACTCAAATAGGGCATAACACCCATGTTCAGAGAACATTAAAATGTAACTCACATTAACGGGAAAATGACAAGCCGGGAGATGATGAAAACCACAGCGAAAACAGTAAAGACTGCTTCACAGACCCACTTCCATTTCATGTAATGGAGCATCTTGGCAAGCTGTAGAGAGACAAATTGCCGTATGTTCTAGGGGGCTGAGGGACTTCCCATGTCCTGCAAGGGTTACCAGGCTTGTGGGGATGTGTCCCAATCCCTGTGCACTCACATACTTTTCCCCAAGAGCAGTAAATCTGACACTTCCTAAATGGCACTGGCACTATAGTATACATATAGTACACTGCATCCACATGCATCAGGTGTAGTAAGGCACACAGTTCCCAGTGGTACCCACAGACATGAGCAGAAATTGGCATTTCTGGGTGAGAGTCACTCACCTCTAAAATATAATCGGAGACATCATGGACTAGCATGACTATCATCCCAAACCGTATAAGATTGGCACAATAGGAGACAGAGATCAGAGTGATGGTGGCGATGTGGTGGATGATCTGTTCCTTAAAGTCCTGGCATGAGAAGAGAGACTGTGTGTCAGTCCTACCTTCACCTGGCAGCATCTGTTCCTGGATGCTGCTGCATCACTAGGACATGTCAAACACGTCCACAAAGCATCAGTGCTCCCTACCGTGCTACAGCTCTCCAAGGTCCTGCACAATCCCTAAAAGAATAAGCATCTTTATGCCCAGTTTATGGAAACCCAGATAAATACCAGCAAGGTACACATATGTGCAAACATGCTAGAAGACAGATTTTATAAATTTTCCTGTAGTCAATCTGCCTTTTGTAAGTGCCTTTCTTAACACCCCATATTTTCCTCCCAGACACCTCCACTATGTATTGAAGAGCTTTTTGTAATGACAGTAGATTGCCCTTGGCCTGGGGCAGGTCCTGTCCACTAGCCATAATGGAGGCAGCTCTTCAACCTCCCTGTGCTGCCCATGGAGAGAGACTGATGGAGCTGGGCTAGAGATACTGCAGGTGGTGAATATGCCTTCTCACAGGCCTCAGGTAAAGAGAGGACCTTGCTGGGTCGTTCATGCTTGCATAGACAAATCTGTACATGCAAAATAGCAATACTTTGGGATACGAGAAGATGCTTCCTGAGTGTTCTGTGGAGGGATTGGGAAGGGAAGCTCTGGCTCTGGCCCAGGGAGGCTCACTGCCAGGCAGTGGGATCCTGCTTCTTCTGGGCAGCATTGCAGGTGTCCAATAACCAACCTGTCTACAAAGACTATTGCAGTGTTGGTAATTTTAATACAGAGTTTCTCTAGGAACCGGGGCATGCTTTGTGAGAGCTGGGCAGAGCCCATCTCTGGGAAGAAGCATGAATTCTCTGAAGAGAGATGTGATCATCAAATTAAACAATCAAATCAAATGAAGCTGAGGTTGAACCTCAGCTTTTGCATGTGAACAAGCTCTTGAACTTGAACTGCACAGCTCTGTGCAGTTTCAATGGCAGAATGAGGTGAGGGCAACAGTGGATGCTGGGCCTGTGGGTCCCAGGAGGTCACCTCATCCCACGCTGCAAAAGCCCCACATGCATCTACAGGACCCTCATTGCAACAGCCCAGCTCCTTCCCATCAGGAGGACACAGCCCTCTCGTTCAGGCAGCACCTGAGACCAGAGCTGGAAAGGGGCATGATGCCATGTCCACCCAGCAACCGTCCCTTGGCCAGGCATGGGGACCCCATGTCAGCCTCCGGCACGTCCCCAGCCTAGCAGGCAGGAAGGCCACACTTCACATGAGCGGGACCCAATACAAGGTGCAATGGTGGGCTATGAGAGGTGCAGGGAGCTCATGTGCTCAGGGGTCTTCGCAGCAGCATGTGTGCCTTGTCCTTTGTACCCCTGGGGAGCTGACAGCGGGAAGGAAGAGCCTCATGGTGGGGGCCAAGCCAGTGGGTTGCAGTTGTGCTGCTGTCACTCACCTTCCTCTTCACATCGAAGGGCAGGGTAGCCACCAGTGAGCAGTAGAAGGAGAGCTCCAGCAGGTAGAACCAGCCCAATGTGGGCAGGAGAGGCTGTGAGACAAGCGATAGGCAGCATGAAACCCTTGCCTAGCCCTGGGGGATAGCAGAGGTGAAGGGTCTTCCTGGGCAAAGCCCCTTCATTCAGCCCATGTTTGGCACAGCAGGGCTTGGTTATGCCTAAATTTTTATGTTCCGTGTGACTGAAGTGTTTGCTGATGCACTGTCAAGCCTGGTCCAAAGCTAGGACCAGCCCTGGCCAGTCTGCAGAGGGACTGAGCAGAAGGAGCAGGGTCTCCCCTCTGCAGGGGGTCAGACATCTCATCTCCATCCCTGATTTGCGAGGTCAAGGGATGTCCTGACCATCTGATCCCTTTTGTGGCCACAGACATGGAGCCACTTCCAGCCAGGCTTGTGTTACAGAGAAACTTGTTGAGAAGGGGTGCCTGTTCAGGGCAGAGACTCTCCATCCGCTGTCATATGGAGCATCTACAAGGAGCTTGTCAAGATGACAGAGCCAAGCTGTTTACCATGGTGCATGGTGCGAGGATGAGAGACAGCAGGCATAAGTTGAAACAAGAGAGGTGGATGTAAGGAGAAACTTTTTCATCATGAGGGCAATCAATCAGTGGAATAGGTTGCCCAGAGAGGTTGTGCTGTCTCCATCCTTGAAGGTTTTCAAAACTAGGCTGGAAAAAGCCCTGGGTAACCTGGTCTGGTGTCACAGCTGAGTGCTGCAAGCAGGAGGTTGGACAAAAGATCTCCTGGTCCCCCTTCCAATATCATCCTGTGATTCCATGTACTTGCTGCTCACCTGTTGTGGAAATCTTAGCCAGCACACGGTGTGGTCCCAAAACCAGGACTTCTGTGCAGAGAGAAGGCAGCAGTAAGAACCCACAGCCTTTTGATGACATGTAATGACAACATGTAATGACCATGTGAAGAATTACTTCAATTACTAGCCTGTATCAGCAATAGCGTGGCCAGCAGGAGTAGGGAAGTGATCATGCCCCTGTACTCAGCACGGGTGAGGCTGCACCTTGAATTCTGTGTTCAGTTTTGGGCCCCTCACTACAAGAAGAACGCTGAGGTGCTTGAGCGTGTCCAAGGAAGGGCAACGAAGCTGGTGAGGGGTCTGGAGCACAAGTCTGATGAGGAGTGGCTGAGGGAACTGGGGGTGTTCAGTTTGGAGACGAGGAGGCTGAGGGGAGACCTTATTGCTCTCTACAACTACCTGAAAGGGAGTTGTGGCGAGGTGGAGGTTGGTATCTTCTCCCAAGTAACCAGCGTTAGGACGAGAGGAAATGTCCTCAAGTTGCACCAGGGCAGGTTTAGATTAGATATTAGGAAAAATTTATTCACTGAGAGAGTGGTCAAGCATTGGAACAGGCTGCCTAGGGAGCTGGTGGAGTCACCATCACTGGAAGTGTCCAAAAAATGTGTGGACGTGGCGCTTGGGGGCATGGTGGTGTTGGGTTAACGGTTGTACTTGATGAGCTTGAAGGTCTTTTCCAACCTTAATGATTCTGTGATTCAAGAAGTCAGTGTGCCCATGCTAAACCCAATCTGCCTTTGAGCTTTGGAAAAAGTGGTTGGCAAAATGCATTTGTCCTTAGTAAATGCACAGGATATCACACGGACAGTCTCGATATGGGGAGCAAGCCACAGCCAGGACAGGGTCTGCTCTTGGCTGAGATGCAAGGACTCTATGTGGGTAGCAGTGAGGAATCATCTACACAATGATCTAAGACAAGGAGAAAACCATGGTAACATCACTGACACCTAGCCAGGTCCACCTGGGGAAAAAGGAACTGTTCTGCTGGATCAGGATTGGGGATGGTTCTGCTCCATGCTTTTGAATTTGTCCTCTTGGACCCATAGTCATGGCCATACATGATCTTTGGATGGACTCTTTGAAATGGCCCAGGACCGCCGGCCTCATTTGCCATGGCTGAGGAATAGGACACTGAGAAAGGTGTCACTCCACAGCATCACTCTGCTCACATACTTACATCATACAGGAGAGCCAGCCCAGAGAAGAATGAGGTGAAATAGAATGTAAATCTCCAGCTAAAACAGAAAAAGCAAGGAATTAAGACTTCCTCCAGAGTTGGAATAGCTCCCCAGGCTATGCCCAGGATGCTGCAAAGCCCAACATGCTTGTTTGGACCGAGGTTTGCAGAACCTCAGCTCTGTTCACACATGCACACATGTGCTGTTAAGGCAACAGGGTATCCACAGCCCACCCACGCGCTGCTGTGGTCCACACTGTGCCCAAATTCCTGGCATACTCCATCAGCATTAAACAGGTTGCAGCATGACTACCAGAATGCCTCTACCTGTCTCCTTTTATGTGGGTGTTTGTAGATCACCTGTGCAAATGCTTATATACCATAGCCTGTGGAAGGCACCTAATTTTTCCCAGTGATGGCACAGGAATACCAGCGATTTTATTAGTTTCCTCAGAAATGCTCTAGTGTGGAGCACTGAACAAGCTTTCAGGAGGAGAGTATTTTTTAAGAAGCATAATAACAGGACTTCAATTCAAGCACTGAATATTTTTCAGAGAGGGAGGGAGAGTAGATCTCATACCTGATGGGGGTCTTTGTGTACACAGAGCATTAAACCTCAGTGTGAGAACCAGAGTGTATTGTGTTTTGGTAGTGGTGGGAGTTGCAGGGGGACTTCTGCGAAAAGTTGCTAGAAGCTTCCCCTGTGTCTGACACAGACCCACCACTGGCCAAGGCCATCAGCAACGGTGGTAGCACCTCTGTGATAACATATTTCCAAAGGGGAAAAAACGTGGCATACAGTGTTTGCAGCCGGAGAGAGGAGTGAGATTATGT